TTGGGTGCAGATGGACGAAAAGTTATTGATTACATGCGTGCTATTTGTCGACAATTCAGAAAAGTTGAACATACAGATATATCACCAAATAATTTAATGGAAAACGTAAGTGAATATATGTATGCGCCAACAGTAAATAGCAATTGGCGTATCTTTGGTGTAGGTCTTCTAGTTGTTGGTTGTGAGGATACAAATCCATATGTATACGAAGTGCAAACAACTGGAGAAACTTCAGACCGTGTTGCATTTGCAATTGGTTTCTGCTCTTCAGCTGCAAACATTTATTTGAAAAAAAATATAAATAATATTCTTAGCTCGAATTTAGATTGTCTTATTATGTATGGTGTTACCGCTTTGAGACATACATTATCTGAAGACGACCAGGAAAATATAACAAAAATGCAGGTATTTTTCTATCTTTTTTTTTTAATTTAGGCTTTGTTTAATTTAATTTAATAGCTCAATGGATGTATAAAAATGTTTGTAAAGATACTAGTAACATTCGCTGGCATTTATTGTTTGTTATACCAAAATGCATTTTCTTCAATTCAAGTTATAATTGACTAACTGACTATAAATTTAAACAAATCTTAATCATTTTTATTAAAAAAATGTCAAATATTTTTAAATATATTTTTCTTTACATAATTAGAATATCAGTATTGGTGTTGTTGGGAATAAACAACCTTTCCGAATTTTGGATAAATGCAGAACTTTTCGATATTTACAAAATCTAACTAGAGACGATTAAAACTGAGATATGTTATCGTGTATTGTGCACAAAATTCAAAATAAACAAACAACAAATTTTTAATTTAATTTTAAAGTACATTATATAACATTTTCTTAAAACATTTTAATAAAAGCTTTGATATTTACTAATGATTTTAAAATCGTGTATTAAGTTAGAAAATTTGCACATAATTGCTTAATCTTTTGTTTCTAACACTATTCCATTAATATTCTAAATGCAACTATAAATTATAAATAAATCAATAACACATAATTTATGTACAGAATGAGCTATTCAACATATTAAATAAAAATACAACTAAATTACTATGACTTAATAGTGAAAGAAAAATACGTTTTTGTGTATTAATGCAAGTACTAATACGATTTATGAATTTAATATATAATTCGTTATATTGTTGATTTATTATATTGTTTATATATTACATTGTTTGTTAATATATTATATGCTTGTTTTATAGATTTGATACATACTTAAGCAAAACAGGACAATATTAGTTCATTCGTTTGGTATACAAAACTTCTTATTAATAGTTTTTATTTAATTCATAAAATAGTTTTCGATAATATTTTTAAAACATAATAAAAATGATCGCAAATTTTTAATAAGAAACCAGATGCAGAAACCAGTTCAATATTTAATAAAATGAAATAATTGATATCTGGCAACTCTATTCCCACATATTTCTTTGTTTTGCTAGTTTTTCTTGATGTCTTGTCAACATTAATTGAGTGCTAATGTTCTGCTCACTCAATGTGGATCGTGTTGCTCTCTCTACATATTTCAATAAATTTTTAATAAGCAGTTTCCATTGATCTTTGGTGTGCGGTGGAATTGTGTATGTTTATTTTGTTTGTGTGGTGTAAGTTTTGTTGTATGAATTATAAATTATAACAATAAAATGTATTAATTAGTCAAAATGTGGCTAAAAAAAAGTTAAATACAAATATAAAAAATAATTAGGCTAAAAATTGCAATATAATTCAGAAGTTACCGAAACGATACAAACAAGAATACTTAAAGTTTAAGTTGTATTCCTTAAAGGAATACAAATCGTATTAAACGGTGGCATATGTATATGCATAAATTAATAAATTAAAAGTGCTACCGGTATAAAAAAATAACAACAAAAATTGTTACAAACATTAAGAGCATGCTGGAATAACATTTTTATAAATTATTTTGTTTAATGTTGCAATATACAAAAATGTAGTTTTACTTTGTGTATCTACTTCAAATATTTGACCTATGACATGGTTGCCAACTTCGGTCTTAAAATGTGTAGTGAAAATTAGAGCAAAATAAAAAAGTGATTAAAAAATATAACAATATATTATATAATATTAAATATAATAACTCTTCTGAAAATTTTTATTATATTAAATATTTGTTAATTTTTTTAAAAATATCTGAAAACAAATTAACTTACTTAAAAGCAATTTATTACTTCTTATGTGTGTTGGCAATCATCTTTATTTCACTCTGCTTTCCTGTTTTGTTTGATCTTCTCACTTCGTTCTCCCACTCATGCTGAGGCATTTTTGTGGTTCAAATTTGTATATCAGCAAGAAAACCAGTTTTCCGCTATTGTTTTCAGCGCCACTTTTATTCTTTTTTTTTTTTTATTAAATATCGTTTTTAACTTTTATTTTAGTGTGAGCACAATTAAAATATCACCAAAAATATTTTACTTTATTAAAATTCAATTAAATTTTTTACAAAAAAGTTTACTACTTGACATCGAATATAACTGGTTTCAAATCCATATAAGATTTCCATTAAACCCAGTATTTTGGGAAGGAAAAGGAACGAAAAACATTTGTCAAATTAATTCGTTTTAAACCCTTCTTTTTAAGAAATAAAATGACAGCTGGTTTTTTTGGAAAATATTTTCGAGCAACAAATATCCCAATTGACCGACCATCTTGGATTGTTCTTCCAAGTTGTTGAAGATTTGAAATCTGGAATTCAGAACCTCTTTATAGAGATTATTAAAATGTAAATTAATTTTAACTAAAGTGTTAAACTATAATAATCACTAAAATTAATTAATATTATTATTTTATCACCTCCTGATTTAACAGTCTATAAAGACATAAAGCCTCTTATACAATAGCTTCGGTAGTCTTTCTTCAATTAATGCATCTAATTCTTCTAAAATCTATTTTCGAAGCCATCTTTTGTATGTTTTTGTATGTTTTTAGGTTAATAATATATATGGTATTGAAAGAAAAAGCATCGACTACTTTAGAAGAATAAGTGTGTGGTATATAAGTAGTTTCTGAATTTTGCTTTAAATACATAAATCAGTCTATCAAATCTAATATATATATGTACCTTTATGGTATAACTTTTATAGTAATTTAAATAATAACTTCTCTCCCTAAAATTGCAAGTTTGCTTCCCAAATAAATTATTGTTAGCTAAAGCTAAGATTTTTATTTCCGGTCATCCTTTTTTAACTTAGCCCCGATTCATGCGAGAGTTTAAAAACCAACGTAACTATGTCACGTTTGCGATTGTGAATTACATTAGAATTAGCATCCAGTAAGAGCAATAGTTCACATCTATCGCTTGAACATAAGATAGCTTATAGTTACCTATTCGACAGATTCTAACTTTTCAAACCCAATAAAAGATTTTAAAAGCGCTTTAAGCTTTTTTTATTGCTAACAAAAAAGTTCTCTACTCAATATAATAATTTGTATATTAGCCTGACCTTTTGAGCAGACATTTTTATTGTTTTTTAAATCCCTTTTTAAAGAGCTTTCAGTAAGGTTTATAGTTCACATTAACCTCTTAAGCATTTACTATATGCAAAGTGGTGGCAAAACCCATCTATCGCCGACACTCTGTCACTTTAACGACTGTGTGATGTATTAGATCATGACTTTTAAATTGTGAATCTGCACTATCTGAAAGTTATTTTCAATAAGGCATATATAAAGGTCTTAAGTATAAATAAAAAAAAAAAAATGCTGTTTATACTAACGTTTTTCAAGCCGTCTACCCGCGTCACCGATTCGTAAAATCATTTATTTCTCTCTTTAATATTATTTTATGGGAAGATATTGATCTCGTCACCGATTCGTAAAATGATTTATTTTTCTCTTTAATAATATTATTTTATGGGAAGATCTTCGCAAAACACATATTTAAGTGGTCCTTGCAAAATACATTCAATTTAAAAGTGTTTGTTATTTAAAGACTGTAAAAGTTCTTAATAATGGGTATTTTATTAACAGAAAGTATAATTAACTTCAAATAATCGATTAACAGATTGAATATGTTTTTAGAGAGACTTTATAGAATCTGGACATATTTTTGACATCATGCAAACTGTTGCTAAATTCTTTCTGTACTGAATTTTTAATAAAAGAATAGAAGACTCAAAGTTGTGTAGGCAACTATGGTATATGCAAATGGATTACTCTTTATAAAGAAGTAATCCTATACTGTCATTGAGTATGATATATATATATGTGATTTGTGGTAGGTTTGCTTACAGGTCAGCTGATTAGAGATTGAATCTACCCTTTAGTGCCTCTCTTCTGTTTTGCTTCTGCCCGGCGCCACTTTACTATTTTAGGGTTCTCTTTTTTGGGAGATCTTGGTCAACTCCAAGACCTCAATTTAATAGGATCTACCATTGCGTACCTGGACTTAAGAATTATATCATGTCCATGTTAAATTCATGTTGACCACATGGAGTTAAATCACAAAAAGTTCTTGAAATAGTCTAAATTTTAAGGTTCCCCCATTCAGGGTAATAAAGTATAAAAAATTTAAAATTTCAGCTTAATTAACATGCAATAACTAAACTTATATTGTAAGAACAAACCAAACAAGTGAAAGAAATAAAATAAAAGTACAAATAATAAAATAATTGAAATAAAATTATACATCGAAAATGTTTTCTTGCACAAAAGCCTCAATGGAGTTGAGGTTATGGTCACCAGCATTCAGGACATGCAAAATTTTTTATGTCCTTTCAACGTTCCTGCTAACGCTGTTGTTGTTTTGCGTACAGGACATTAATTGTGATTATGAGAACACATGGAATTTTTACTACGAGCAGCCGTGCTGTGGCAATGAACCAACGAATTATGCCAAACATAAAAGAGGTAAAGCACATAAATAAATTTTTCCATATAAACTATGTACACCTTTCCTTACACACTTTACACACTCCTGCCATACGAAACGAGACAGTTCTCCCACGTATAGGTACGACCGAATGCATAAATACATCCTGCATGAACCTAACAGGATCACTTCAAAAGCACTTTAATCCTTGAAAAAGTTTATATTTAATAAAAATTTTAATCGCGGCATTAAGTGCGCTTTTCGATGATTCATGCGTAAATGTGCATTCGGTTAATAATATTTTATGATTTATTGTTTATATTATTTTTTTTTTTTACTTACTTTTCAATTATATTTATTATTTTTATTATTTTCATTATATAAATTTTTAACATTTCCAGTATTTTTATTGTTCAAATTGTTGTAACTTTTTCCAATATAAATTTATCGTTTAATACTTTAATTGTATTTTTAATGCTTCTTTAATCGCCTTTATTGTGAATTATATTTCACGCCACTGATTTAAAAGTTGTCACTAAATATTGTTTTTGTTTCCCATTGTATTGGCCGATGTTTGCATTACAAAAAGTTTACACTGCGTTCACACTGCATTCACACTCATGTCCTGTAAGGACTAACATCGACTGCACATTGTGTACTGTGTAACTGTGTAAGTACTGATGCATTTTTAATTTTATTCGTTTTTATGGTAATTAAACAATATTTTCATTTAATATATAGGAAAAGTTTAGTGAATATATAAAGTTTTGTTTAAAGTTTTTAAAAAAAGGGTTAAGGATAAAGTGTTTAGTATGCCCTCCAACTATAATTTTTTATTAGACC